AATTGCTTCTAGCAAACTGCGCACCAACAGGAAGCCAGCTTCTCAGCAGGTCCCACCACAGTGCTTAGGTCTTAAGTTATGAGAGGGAAAACAATACCACCAGCCTAGCTACTATCACCTCAGCTGTCACTGGGATAATATTGTGGAGGCCAGGTAAATGTGAAGAAATTCAATACTCCAGTGGGACTTTTAAATCCCATTTCAAAAGACTACTGTTCTGGTGAAGGTTTTATCATGCTACTGATAAATGGTCAGGGTAATGTGTTGAAGGAAAATCCCCAACCCCAGTTGGGGGGAGGTTAGGCCACAGACTTGGACTCTATTGACATTTTAAAACTATTTTTCAGTTGATTTTAAGCTGCAATCTAAGAAACAAAAATCCATGTCAGGTTGAGTTTCAGTCTCCTTAGTAGATGATACTGCCATCAGCTGAGCTCAGGACAGAATGCTACGACTGGATAATTCTTATCGCAATTCTCAAGACCCACTGTCCATCCTAGTTCTAGGAGTGAGATTGATGTGTGGAATGATGCTAAATTAGCCCTTTGACAATGAAGTTTCTTCTCTTCTATTTACAGCTCATCTGAGACTTTCATCCTATTTCTTTCTTTTTTTTTTTTTTTTTTTTTTTATTGGTACCGGGGATCGAACTCATGACCACCTGCTTGCAAGGCAGGTGCTTATGCCGCTGAGCTAAATCCCCAGCCCCAAGACTTTCATCCCATTTCTGACTTCCTCAGGGTCCTCCAAGGATTATTTCCATCCCTCTTCAAATGTGCTTCAGGCTCTTTCTTTTTAAACAGAGAAAAGGCAAATGAACAAATGATTCTTTATGATTTTCACTTACCTCTACCTTTTAAAACTTTTATTCTTTCCTTTACAATAGTAAATATTTGACTAATGGTAGGAACTTAAACATTAAGCCCAGTAGCATCATCATTTAAAGGATGAGAAGAACGTTTCTATTTTGCTAACCAGAACCAGTATCCACTTTCTGATGCAGTCCCTGGATCTGTCATGGTATTTGAGTTACAGGTTACTGGCCTCCTTGTAAGGTGGCCTTAGTAGGTAGGCTTCTTTGATCATGACCTGCCTTGTCTCTCTGGTGGCTTACGGATGCTTCTATGATGATCCACCATTAATCCCAAGTAGGAACCAGCACTCTAATGTTTTGCTTAGCTCTTATAAGTCTTCTTTTCCTAGATGTGTGTATGACTTTTGTCTAGATGTCCCTCCAAAGCCTCATGCAGTCATAAGTGGGGCTTTTTCAGAGGTGACTGAATGTAGTGTGTGATTGATTCATGGTGCACTGCAGATGAAGGGTGGCTAATTACTAAAGCAGTCCACTGATTGATTCGGCACTGCCCTAGTCTCAATAGCCTGTATACAATATATGGACAGAAAGAGGTTTGTCTTCCCCTTGATTACCTGCTCTTGGTGTCTTCGGCTTGCTGTGAACTGTTTCTCCTCTGTGATGGCCCTCTGACAAACCACCTGCTTTGGAGCCGGGAGATTATGTACTGAAACATATATAAATTGTGAGGTAAAGAAACCTTTCTCCCTTCAATTTTGAGTGTTGAGTATTTTGTCTCAGCAATGAGAGAAAAGTAATTAAGACAGTGTGGTTTCAGCATTTATCTCTGGTGGGAATTCTTACTGCATATGAACAGATTTCCTAGGGCAACCATTATCCGACTCTCACATATGTCATCTATATTCCTTTTCTACGATATGTCACATCATGCATTGTCTCATCAAAGTAGGAAGTACTATATACTAGGTGAGACTACAAAGGTAAAAGCATTGCAGCTTTATTTAAATTTTTTTTTAGCCAAGTGCTAAGAAAGGGAGTGGCCAGCTTTGGTATAAAGTGAACCTGAAATCTCTTATGTACTCTTGCTGGGATTGCTAAATATGAATGAGTGCACTGTTTTAAAAAAGAGAATTAGGTATTTTCTTCCTATTTTTGAGCCATACTCCAAGTCCAATCCAATATGGAAGGCAGCTTGGCAATATGTCTGGCCATTACGAACCCTCAGCACAGGAGATAGTACTCACCAAACCCTGAAGTGTCTGGACTAGCAACCTGTCCACTCACCCAGACTCCGAGTGTTATAAATACAAGGTAGCTCATGCCCTCTTATGATCAATAGTATACAGTTGGCTTCTCTTTCATGCTGAGGTCAGCACAGAGACATCTATTATTTGTGACACATGACTCATTTTATTTATGATTTTGGGTTGCTGGCTACTGTATGCCGTGGGTTAGTTATAAGCTAGCTTAGCTTCCATATTATAGTCTACTTCTTTCTAGTTTTGTTACTTAACTACTGATAAAGCATTGAGGGTTAAGTGGTTAGGGTGAAGTGTTAATTTGACTGGCTTTGGGATCCACCAGGGGACTGGTGAAGCACATATCTGATTGTGTCTGGGTGACTTATAAAGAAGTGGCCTTGAGATCTTTATCTGGTCGCTTGTTCCTTTTTTGCTGGCTTTGCCTCCCTACTGTCCCTCCCAGCTACCATGAACTAATCAGTTTTGTTCCTCTATATCCTTCCCCCATGATGTTTCTGCCTTGGGACCAGCTGGCCAAAGACTTAATTCCCTAAACTGTGAGTCAAGTCAAATCTCTCCTCCTTTAAACCATGGCTGTCAGATATTGTCTCAGTGATGAGAAAGCTGTTTAAATGAGGAAGCAAGCATATTTCATCTCCCAGACCCAGCTCAGTATTAAACAAATATAGCGAAAGACACTTTAGTGAGACAAAAATTCAATGCAGGGCTAGTTATAGTTATTTACTTGGAGAAAATATGAAATTATCTGCTCCTTTTCAATGTGTCAATGATAATATTAACATTCCAGTAGTCTTTAATGTTAATAAATCACAAGTGCTACACAACTTACAGCACTCTCATTTATTCGTTTTTTTATTATTTAAAGAGAGAAAAAAGAAAGGAAATAAAATAAAAAAAGCAGTCATGACAGTCCTATTCTGTATTTATATTTTTTTGATATTTAGAATAGAAATGAAGATAATTAAATGACTTAATCTAAGCCATTGCTCGAAAGCAACAGAGCCATAATTGTACACTAATTTTATGGAGACTCATTACCTTTATCTTTATGCTGTAGTATTTCTCGATAAAAACAAATGGGATAAAAGCCAGGAAGATATAAAGTTGGTTGGATGGGAAGAACTATTTAAATTCCAGTCTGAGATGTTTTCATTTGATTTCATAGGCAACAGGAAATTAGCATGAGTTTTGAGCCTGAAAATATTGTGGTAAATTTTACTTTACAAAGATTGATTACATATTCATGGGCAGGAGACTCAAACACATGAAATCCAGAAAGAAAAGGTCACCTGAAAATCTATTATTAAAGGAGTCATAGAGGATGATGTGTGACACATGTAATATTTTATATTGAAAGACTTTAAAAAGAACTACATTGTTAGAATTCTGTGCTATGGCAAATTTGACAAGATGATTCAGTGTTTTTAAAGGTGTTAATCTTTTCTCAGTTAATCTATAAAATCAATGTAATTTAAATCAATATCTCAACTGGTTTTCTGCTTGCTTAAATCACTGTAAAATTTCTAGAATTAATACAGAAAGATAAGACAAACAAACCTTAAAGTGCTAGTGAGGAACAACTTGGTAGGACATTTTGTCTCATAAGATCTTATGACTTACTAATATATAATGATTAAGATAATGTAATATCTGTACATGGCCAATCAAAACAATAACAGCAAAAAGAAAAATGGCAGACAAGACAGTCCATGGCAATGAACCATAATGTCTAAGGAAACATGACAGAGAATAAGATTAGATTTCAGTTCATTGGAGAGAGAAGGAATTGTTTAATAAATGGTGCTGGCATGTATACTTAAATAAGAAAGTGGATTCTTAGCTCACACTATATGGAGTGTGATAGAAAAAGGTAGGGTTGGAGGGGGAGAGAGGAGTGAGTAAATAGGCACTGAGTATTTAATTATAATATATAGTATAAATGCTGGTAATAAACCACATGCAAAGTATGTAACAGTGAGAGGAGGTAGAAATTTCTGGAAGGGAAACAGCTGTGGTTTTAAATATGGCTTTCGGGGAATGTCTCCCTGAGAATTTGGACATTAAGCAAAGCCCTGGAAAAGGTAATGGTGAGTCATGTGACTAGAGACATGCTTTTGTGAAAGACTTGCAGCACAGGCATGCTTTCTATGCTGGATGAATTTCAGGATGTAAGTGTAACTAGATCAACTCATTAAGAAGAGTAAGTCATGAAATCAGCACTATTGAGGGTCCAGATCATGGAAGAACCTTGCAGACCATTAAAATTATTTTGGATTTTACTGAGAGCCAAATGAAAAACTTTTGGAGGTTTTCAGGCAGATATATGATGCTAATTCATGGATCACAGTACCATTCTGGTTACCATATTGAGATTAAACGAATTGAAATCAAGTCAAGCATAAAAGGGAGGAAACAAGGTAGCTGTTGTAACACACCAAAAGATAACAGTGACTTGGAGGAGGGTGGATAAGAGGCAACTAGTTTTCTATAGATTTTGATTGTAGAGCAAGCAGTGTAGTCTAAAGAACCGAGTGTGAGGTGAAAAAAAAGAATTATTTTTTAACCGAAGATACTGTAAAAATAGCGATGCCATTTATTAGGTTGAGAAAAACTGTTAGAGGAACATGTTTCAGGAGCGACACGAACATCATGAGGTCAGATATAGATAGATTATAGCCAAGATATTTTAAGAAGAGCTGTTCAGTGGGTGGTTGAGTATGCTACTCTGGAGTTAAAGAGAGAAGTCTGCCTGGGAGATACAGTTTTTGGATTTATGATCTGTAAGTGATATTTCTAATTATGAGACTGACTGAGATGCCTGGGAGGAGTAACAAAATGGCAACAGAAATAATGCTGAACCCTGAGCATTAAAATACTTCGATAGTAAATATGGTAAAGGCCAACAGGGAGAAAAAACATATTACCTGAAAATGATCAACATTGAGGTTTGCAGCTGGCTTCTCAAGAGCAACTATAGAAGCTTGAAAAGCAAAGTCTGTGTTTCAAGTGCTGTGAAAGAAAACATCACAGGATAAAAATCAAACACATTTGAAAAATTGAGGGAAAAAACCCTCAGATTGTATTATGAATTCAATTCAATCTCAATAAAACTTGTAAAAGGAAATTATAAGGAATTTTATAAACTAATTTAAAATTAGTAGGGAAGAATATATACAAGAGAATAGTAATATAAATTAAGAAACAAAATGAACAAAAATGAAGACTACCTCCAGTAATCTAAATATTAACAAACCTGTGGTAATAAACATAACGTGATGCTAGAGTGGGAAACTCCCAAAAGATTGATGAAACTGGATTGAAAGTTTAGGAATGAGCCCACGTATATGTGAAGCATTTTTTAAAGTGTAGTTATAAATTTTACAAGGAACAAAATTATATCTATCTAATGCTCATAACTGAAAAATCAAAGTAGATTAAAAGAATAAGAACACAAATGAAACTATCAAATGTTAGAAAAAATACAAGAGAGTATGTTTATGATTTTATGGTAGGTACAGTCTTAAATTTATAAATGCATCAAAAATAAAATGCAAAATTCTTTCTATATTCAACAAATTACTAAACTTCTGAATAATACAAAAGAACACACAAAAACCTATAAAAGACAATTATACATAGGAAAAATATATGTAGCATACTAAGAATAAATGAACTATTCAGGATTGATAAATAAATGATCGATGATAAGAAAAAGACAAATGAGGGGCTGGGGATTTAGCTCAGCGGCATAAGCGCCTGCCTTGCAAGCAAGCAGTCGTGAGTTCAATCCCTGGTACCGATAAAAACGAAAAAGACAAAAAAAAAAAAAAAAAAAAAAAAAGACAAATGGTCTAATTGAAAAATGGGCAAAAAATATGAACCAATTTAAGATTACTTCTGGTAATCCAGGACATATACCAACAAAGATAACATTTACTTACTGCCATAGGCCACATTTTATGTTTGATAAATTATCCCTATTTCTTTACAATGTAATATTTACAGAAGTTAAAAACAATATAAGAAGTTTATGCATACATAGGCAAAAATTGCTAGGAAAATTACTTTAGAAGATTTTGTAATAATATAATGTCATGTTAACATCTGTGTAAATCTTCCTTTCTTGTGTGTAATATGGATACATAAGGATATAGTCTAAATTGCAATCCAAAAGAGTAGAGCCTGAGATGGTAATTCCTTTTCAATCTTGGGAAAGTGCTCTCAGGAAAAGGGGGCAGTAGAGATTTCCTATTAACTTGTTTTGAAGTCCTGTAATACTCCCACGATCTTGTTTTGACTGATTAGACTCTGTTCCATTCTGTGCGATAGTATCAAGTCTGAGGGTATGGCAACTACTTTGAAGGCAGTAAGATTCACAAAGATGCCCATTCTGGTTTGACTATTGTCTCCTTTGGAAGTCCTGTAATGTTCACAATGCTTAAGTTTTATTGGTCTTGTTCTCTACTGTCTTGTCCAACTTTATAATATCTAATGAGATAGACAATTCTTTTTAAGGAAACAAGAGACAACGTTGATAACCATTGTTAATAACCTTGTACTCTGTTCTACATCATGTGCTATGTCTATCCTTGGTTTTGACTGACAGCTTTGTTTTGCCATATTTGACTTTATTCTCCCCCCCCCAAAAGTAATAAGAACTAAGGAGTAATAAAATCCAAAATGTGTAAATTTTGTTGTAAAAAAGAGAGGGAGGAAAAAAAAAAAAAGAGCTCTAACGGATATAACAGCAAGTGTGTTTAGGGGTGTTAAATAGCTGACTATATTAATGTTTTTGGATCATTGAACACAGCTGTTTGCAGTCTCTCTGTTTGAATGTCTACTTTGTATTCTTTGATACTGTGATTTGAGCAACTATTTCCAAGATGATAATATGTAATCTATTAACAGGTGATTTCTTACTGTTATTTTTTTTTTTTTGTAGTTCTGTATTATGTGTAACCTTACACTGCTTTGTTTTGTTTTGTGTTTTTCTCTTTTTCCTCTTAAATATAAAAAAAAAAAAGATAGGCTAAGAACACTTGACAAAAATATACACTCACAGGGGAACCTGTTCAGTCTGATCTTGTGAAGCTACTCTGGAGCACTAACTGCATTAGAGTGGGTCCCGCTGGGAGGTCATTTGTGTCCCTACAATTGCCCAAGTGAACACTATCCTCTCCTTGCATGCCCTGTTGGAGCCACCACAGGTCAAGGGTTGTTCTCCGGAGAAAGGGAAAGCCCTTAGTTACTGTCAGTGAACCCTAACAGCGGTAGATAAAGGGATCAGTGAGAACAGCGGCTGTACCTATTGTATCCTCCCTCAGACCATCCCCACACATGCACACACGTGTGTACAAGCCCACACATAAGAGCACATATGTAAAAGAGCAAAGAACACAAGCGATTCATACTAAGCTGGAAAAATGATTGTTTATAGGAACAGGCTGAAAATAGAGGATGCTGTCAAGGTGGCCTTTAGTTTTATATTTTATATTCTTATAATCACAATCTATGTTTCTCAGAAAAATAAGCTTTCTTAAAAACAAACTTTTACTTTTCTCTATAGGGAAGGACTCCACTTTCCTACTCCATCATCTTCTAGTTTGTGTTTGTGTATTATCACAAATAAAATGCCAGTGAGCTTTATTTTTTGTGTTTTATAGTTCAAGGGTCTTAACAGAGCACACTGAGGTGAATGTAACACTGATTTTATATTTAATAACAATATGATCATCCAAGGTCTAATTTTTGAAATACGTGAAACATACATATATTTAACTGAAATGAAAATCCAATATCTACCTTGTTAATTTTTCCAGTACTCTGTAATGTTGATCAGAGGTTGTTCTAAATGACTTGTTAAAGATATCAACACTTCTCTGTATCATTTTTGCTAAAAGAGGGAGGAGAACACTGTTGACATTCTTCTCTACTTTCTGACATATGTGTATATGTGTATATATATATGTGTATGTGTGTGTGTATATTTATATAGTTGTGAAAATATATTGCTCTACACCTTTATTTGGTTAGCCTGTTCATGTTCTAATAACCAATGTTATTATTTGTTTATGAAGGGCCCATCTTAAATTATCTATGTAAACATTGAATGTAACCTCATGTGGTCCTATGGTTTCAAATACTAATATGGACCAATGAGTTCACTTGGAGACTTTACATTAAGTTTCATAGTTGAAGGTTTTACCTAGTTGTCTTCAATTAGCATCACAAACCAAAGAGAAACTGTTCACTCTCTCTTTTTAAACATACCATCATCTGGGCATGGAGAGGTTTGCAGGAGACTGAAAATTCCTCATAACATAAGACTGTTCAAAGGTTTAAGGTGAGGAGGCCACTGGTGCGGGGAAGGAGTCAAGAAATTCCTGGCAGCAAGTGGAGCAAATAGAGTCCCAGGAGGTAGAGCTCAGCTTTCATATTTAGGTGATGTTGACCAGTGGCAGGACAGGGAGTTTCTTTAGTCACTTGGGGCCTTGTTAATTTCAAGGCTGCATGAAAAAGAACCCTTGGTTCCCCTTCCAGCCTTTTGCACATCTGCTTCTGCCCCAGATCAGGAAAAGTCAGTATTTATTCTGTTGCCTCTGGCAAACATCTGAGCAATTCTTGACTCCCTTCTTTTCATCATTCCCCCACAGTAGATTAATCAGCAAAACCTCTTGATTATAAACACTTAAATATTTTCTTAATCCATTTTCCTCTATTTCTGTTAATACTGCCCTTATTCAAATAAAAAAATCTTTCTCATGGATTATTTTAATAATACAATTACTTACCTTTTTTGTTTTATCTTTCTTGTTTTCTTTCCCTTCTTCCTCTTCTCTCTCTTTCTCCTTCCCATTGCACAGAATAGCTAGTAAAATCTTCTAAAATCTAAGTCAGAACACATGATTTTACTGGCTATAAACCAGAGATGCATTTAGAATAAAGATCCACATGCTTAACTATGGATCTCTAAAATCCTGAGGACTCTCTCTTACTGTTTTCTAACCTCAATTCATATATTCCTAATTTCTCACCATAAAGCTTGTGCTGGTTCCTCCATTCATGCCAACCCAGACCATCATTGAGGCCTTTGGTCATCTAGGTCTTTTTCTAGATATTGGCTATAGATATTCTCTGATTCCTCATTTAATGTAATCACTCAGTTCCTTTCTATCATCTAGAAATTCTATCGTATTTTATTTTTATTCTATCATATTTGTTACCTCTGCTAATTTTCTTGTTTGTTTGTTTGTTTCATTAAACTTTAAACCCTCCAAAAGTAGAGACTTGTTCACATATTCTGAGGATGATGGTAGGATAATTTCGGTTACATAATAGGTTATCAGTACCCATTACTTGAATGAGGCATCATGATGGATACGTGATAAATATAACAATGGATGCCACTGCATACAGAGCTTCTGATCTGTTTGCATTCCAAACAAATGACATTGCGTGACCAAGTAGTGAGATATATGTGGTATTGACCATAAGTGACATAAAAGTTCAGAGAAGGCTGTGGGAAATGCAAGAGACCTGTGCTGGGCTTCTGGTCAAGTATTTGCATATAGCCACTGAATGCAAATCTTTTAGCTGAATGTATAGAATTTCCATTCCCATTTCTGTGGTTATAGCAAGAGCTAAATGATGCAAAAGCTGTTCTACTAACCACTTATCTAGTCAACATTTTCCTCCCTAGTGGCTTCTCATTCTATACATTTTCAACAGAAATATTTTGAATAGATTTTAAGTCTTACTCAAACTGAGTAAAGAATTGGACAAGTTTGCTTTTGTTAAACAAGATGCATATGTGAGATGACTTAATGGTTTTTTAACATTAATTCATAGGCAACAAACGAGACATAGCAAAAATTAATGACAACAATACACCAACAGGTATTTGAACAGTTTTGCTTTCTCACTTAATTGATATGTTTTTATTGGTATTGGTTATTCTATTTTGTCTTTTCTTGAGAATGAACCCTTGTTGGAATATTACTTATTAATTT